TAATCCCTGCCATGCCAGAGAGCTGGAGACAGCTATTCCCAAAGGGAGGCCTCCAGGGCTCCCAGGCATCCTCTTAGCCCCTCGTGTGGCCATGACATTTGCCTTTCCTCTTTTCCAAAGGCAGAGACAGATAGATAATAATTATATTTATTGACTACTTCATTGCCCATTAGCTTCCAGATATAAGCACAAGAAGACTGCTCCAGTCATTATAATTTTTAGAGTCTACAATTACATAAAAGCAAGCCTCATCCATCTACATCACCAAAGTGCAGTGAATCTAGGCTCCTCCTGTGGTTAAAATGGTACCATTAAGTGAGTTAAACCCAGCCATAACTATATCTCTAGATTGGAGGGCCAGGAGATTCTGAGGTGAACCAGGATAATTTAACTCCCCTCCTTGCAGCTGGCTTTGGTGATCTGGCCACTGGGAAACTGACCTATTTCCAGTAAAGTGAGGGAACTGGGCTGGAGAGTGTCCTACAGAATCCCAGTCAGGTCCCAGGTCCCAGGTCCCATCTCTCTCCTGTCCCGTAGGTGAGGAGACAGAATGCAAGGATATCACTGCCAGGCTGCAGTATGTCAAAGTGGGAAACTGTAAGTCTGAAGAGGAAGTGGACATTCATTACTGCGAGGTAAGGGGACCCTGACTTCAGTGAGGCCTAAGTGGGGAGGGGTGAGTCTTCTTGTTTGGATACATCTCTAGTAACCTATTAGAAGCACCTGGAATACTCACAGGGAGGAGATGTGAGTGGAACCAGAAGCATATATTTTTAAGCAAATATTGTATTGAAGTACCTGGGAACTTTTGACCCCAGAAGAAGAAAAAAACCAAAAACAACTGTAGACAGATTCAAATCTTCTAAAGAGAATGGAGAGTTGTTTAAGGGGAGCTAGGCATTATGTTTCCTGATGGAATACGCATAGAAATTGCGGCTAGCGGGATTTGGATGTAATAGTACCATAAGGAGAGTGGATATGCCAGACTTTCCCGAGATCTACCTTTACAAAGCGCGCAGCAGGACTCTCCAGCATTGCAACTCTCACCTCTCTCTGCCCCGTCACAGGGTAAATGTGCCAGCAAAGCCTTGTACTCCATCGACATGGAGGATGTGCAGGACCAGTGCTCCTGCTGCTCGCCCACTCGGACGGAGCCCATGCGGGTGCCCCTGCGCTGCACCAATGGCTCCCTCGTCTACCATGAAGTCCTCAACGCCATGCAGTGCAAGTGCTCCCCCAGGAAGTGCAGCAAGTGAGGCTGCCTCCCTGGGCGCCTCCTGTCGCCTGCCTCACTGGACCTGACCGGCCGGAGTGCTGCTCTGCCCTCTCTGTGCTCTGCTCTTGTGCCCTCCTGAGCCCACAATAAAGGCCAATCTCTCACCTTGCAAAAGGCTGATGGTTCAATGCGTCTTCTAGGCTGACATGACAGTGGTAGGCTGAGCCCGAGCCCTGAACCTGGTTCTGAGGGAGAGAGCACAGGCTCCATCTGAAAGCGCCCCAGCCCCAGGCACGGCCAATCTCTGGGACAAAGTGGTGTCTTTGCCTCTGTGGGGTGGGGAGGGTCTCTGCCCAGTGCCCTAAAGTAAAAGGGATTTGCTCAGCAACACTAGGGTCTCCAAGCTCTGGATCCAGGGGCTTCTGAGCAGAGCAGAGCAGAGGGGTGGGCCCTGGAGCCAGGCTCTTGCCAAGACAGACATGGTTATTGGCAGTGTGGCTGACCTCGTGGTGAAGGAGCTTGAACAGGTGTGAAGGGGCTTTCTCTGAGCCCTTGGGTCTCTAAGGTCCTGTGTACCCTCAGGGGCCCCTGTGGGAGGGAGGGGTGCTGAGGACTGAGGGGGCTGGAAACAGTGTGCTGGCAGGTGCAGAAACAGGGTCCCATCCAGCGTAGGCTGGGCCATGGCAGATGACCCCCAAGCCTTGGGGGCAGGCCTGGGTTCTACACATGGTCCTTGTTCTATTGTGTGGTCCCAAACAAGACCATTAGTGGTTCTCAGACTTCATTTCCTTGTCTGGAAAACAGGAATGTTAGTCTCACTCAAGGGATTGAGAGGGTAAAATATGGCTGAAAGTCTGGGGATAACTGTAAATTGCTCTATAATAATATAATAACCTAAGAAGTGACAAGAAAAAACATGGGAAGGAATCAAGTCTCAAAGCAGGGAATATGTGTCTCTATCATCAGTGGCAGAGAATTAGGGATTTACTTTATCCTGAGGGGTGAGAGAGCTGAGTTTCTTTTGGGCTGGATGCTGGAAGCCAAGGGTCTGTCTACTCCAGACATCTTTTAGTGGAAGATGTAGATAACACCAAACTTCACTTGGTCCCCAAAGCACTGTCTGGTAATGTCACTCTCAGGAAGAGATTGTCCCTCCTTAAAATTTATGAAAAAGCTTTACACGAAGATGCTGGCAAGATGGTGGAGACTCTAGTTGGGGAGGGACTACCCATGAGAATAAAGGAAATGCCCTGGGCATGTGACAGGAATTTGGTGGAGAATTTTCACTCCAGATCCTTCTAACACAGGAGAGACTCTATTCACTTAAAGTGCTGGATGATGGAGCTGGAAAGGATGTGGGCATCATCTAATCCAGTGCCCCTCCCCTGCTCCTTTACAGGGAATAGAAGCAGCTCAGAGAACACCAGTGACTTGCCAAAGGTCACACAGCTGCTGGGGGGCAGGCCAGGTTCAGAACCCAGGTGCCTTGACACCCAGGCAAGAACTTCCAGGCCATCCCACCAGAGCCACGCCATCCCTGTTGCTTACAGATTCAGTCCTTGCTGTCATGGGAAACATTGACTCCCGCATTTATTTATTTATTAATTTTTTTTTTTTTTTAATGTTTCTTTATTTCTGAGAGAGAGAGAGGGAGAGAGAAGGAGAGAGACAGAATCAGGCTCCGAGCTATCAGCATAGAGCCTGACATGGGACTCGAACCCAGGAACTGGGAGATCATGACCTGAGCTGAAGTCAGATGCTTAACCAACTGAGCCACCCAGCTGCGCCTGACTCGCACGTTTCTAGGACCCAACTGCTTCCGATATTGTGGGGAATAACCCGGAGGGAAGATCCATTACAGGCAAATAGCATGGGTTGTGTTGAGCAGTTTTGGTGGGGAATTTAGTAAGAAGAGGAAAGGAAGAATGGATAGAAGGTTTATATAACTGCTGAATAATTCAAAGGTGGTCATCTGTCCATCCATCCCGTCTCCAACTTTGAATAGCCTCTGAGGTCTCTGTACGAAACCAGATCCAGGGGCAGGGAATTACTGTCTCTCTTCTTACTGATTCCCTAACACTCTACCTGGGGATGAGGTGTTATTGGAAGCATCAGCCACAGAGAAACTCAGCAGTTTCTCTGTGAGGTGACCTCTCCAGCATCAGGTGTCAGTTTTCCAACTAACTGCCTGTGCCTCCGTAGCCTGAACTTCTTTTCATATCTACAGATATAGCAGTTCACTACCAAGAAAAATGCCAAATCCGAAAAACTGTATGTTTGGATTAAAAAAAAAAAAATGTCAGGAGCAAGGTAAAAAGGCTGCAAAAAGAGAAATCAGTAGTGGGGTGTGTCTTAGGAGTTTCCCTTTCTCGGCAGGTACTGTGGGGCAGGGCCTGCCTCTGGGGTCAGGGACTCTCTTACATACTCTCAGAGCATTTAAGAGTGTCCCCCAAGGGGAGACTTTTAGGTGGCATCGCGAGGAGGGAGTATACAGGGGCTGAGAAAGTGCTGGAGGGAGAGAAGAAAGGGAATGGATCTGTAGAAAGGTTTCCAGTGCTCTTGACATTGAGAAGACGTGGGACAGGGTCCCTGGGAGTGAAAGGGGAGACAGGCATCGTTTGGGAGAAAGAAGCTGAATGGCAAAGTGTTGGGGCACGGACTCTGAGCAGGCTGCCTGCTTGGGGATCCAGGCAGACTCTTAGAGGCAAGTTGCTTTGACCTTTTACACTGTAGTCTCATCCCTGAGCCCAGCGCACTAGCAGTAACGGCCTCATAGCGTTGTGTCATTATTAAATGATCTCCAGGGGTAAAGCTCTGAGAAGGGTGCCTGAGGATGAGGAGGTCCTGTATAAACATAAGCCTGACTATTCCTAGTGGCCAGAATAAAGCTCTGGATTGGGACATTTTGGTTCTCCTTCTGTGCTGCCCCTGACTCTTCTGTGTTGTCTGCTCCCCTCTGTCCTCTAGCAGCAGGTGGGGAGCAATCGCCACCAGCCTACCTTATCAGTGCAGGAGATAACCATTCTTCACGCTCAAGAATGAACAGCATACTTGACCTTAACATAACACCATTTCATTCGTCGGGTTCCTGGCATTAATGAACTTGTTTAGCTTCAGGGCATCTTGGAGGTGGGGATTCCATTATCCACACTGGCCCTTCAGAGGGCCCTGGCTTCTCAGTTCATCGCTGGGCACCAGAACCTGGCGGCAGGTTCACAGTCTCCCTCCTCCCGCCAGTCCCAAGCTTCTTGGGGGGAGGCTCCCATTAAGACCGACCCCTCCTTCTGCCTCTTGCAGCCCCTCTTCCTGTCCTATCTCTTGTGCGCTACTCCCCTACTCCCGCCCCGGGGAGTCTAGGGAACGGTGGGGACAGCTGGTCGCCAGGGCGAGTGAGAGTGAAGGCAGCTGGGCCAGGGAGCCTCCCACCCCGACCCGGGCAGTGCCCCGGACCGGGCGGCGGGGCGGAATTGGAAACTAATCAGCCAGACGGTGCACGAGATAATCCGGCTGAACATTCACGCCCCAACCAGGTTAGGAGGCACCTCCCCCGGGTGGAGGAGAGCAGGCGGCCGTCTGCCCCGCGCGCCCCTCCGCTTCACGAACCCCAGCGCGGCCTGGGTTCGCCCCTACCTCGGGCGCGCTCCTTCCCCACGTGGCGCTCGCGGCGCCGGGGCGCCCGGGGCGCAGCCAGGAGCGCCCGCTCGAACCCGGGCGGCGCGGCGGGCTGCGCGGGGTTGGGGGGAGGGCAGGGGGAGGAGCGGGCGGGGGGCGGGCACGTCCGGGCGCTGCTGAGCTCGATGGAATTAGCCCCGCGGCGGAATAAACCGGTGCAGACGCCGGCGCCGCCGCGGGCCAGTCCGGGTTTCGCGTCCGGTGTGTCCGCACCATGGCCGCCCCCGGGCTGCGCGGTGAGTCTCCCCTGCCCGGGACCCTGGTCCCCGGCGTCCCGGCGAATGGTAGGAGGGAGAGGGGCTGGGAGTGACGGAGCCGGCATCCTAGCTCCTTGCCTTTGGGACTGGTGACCCCACGTGAACCTGGAGAGGGAGGTGCTGGAGACTGGTCCCTTTTCCGCCGGGGTAGGGGAGGCGAGGGACGCCTGAGCAATTTCCCACACTTATTATTACTATAATAATACTGGTGCAGCGGCTTTTTGGTGGTTGATTACCAATTCCTACCGGTGCGTTTTTGCCTCAACTCATGCGAGTCCTTGGATGTTTAGTTCAGCTTATGTGGGGCAAGCAGACAGCTGGGGTTTAATTCACCAGCAGTCTGCTGAGGACAGAGGTTCGAATTCATCCCCAGCGACTTTGACTTTGGCCTCCCTGGAGTGTTCTCAAGGTTTCAGGACGACTCCTCCAACCCTGACCCAGACCTGAGCTCAGAAAGGGCATTTGCACCTCAGGGTGAAGGGAAGCACGGGCACGCCTTTCCCGGGGACTTTTCTTAGAGGAAAAGCAAGTGGAGGTGGACTTTGCGGGAGGAGGACGTTATTCTGCCGCATCTCCCAAGTTATACTGAGCAGACACATGGGCAGGGTCCACCTTGCCTGGAAAGGGATTATGTTCTCGTGGTTGTTGAGAGAGGTGTGAAGTGGGGAGGTGCCCCCTCCATTGGCATGAATAGTGAACCAGAACTAGGCGTCGGTCCTAGTCCTGAGACCTCGGGAGCCGGTGTGGAGAGATATCTCGGGAACCACGTGGACCCGGTCCAGGACCGAAGGCCCCATTGAGCAAGTTTACATCTAAGCCCGAAGGCAAAGTGGCAGGTGGAGGGAGGATCTTAGACAATGTAGGGGCTTTCCTAGAGGACTGTGGTACTCTGGGTCCCTCTGCTTGCCTGGACTTTGTTTTGTGATCCGACCTCAGAGCCCTGGCCCACCTAGCTGTCTGTCACCCTGTAGTGGCTGCTGGGCATCCAAGGCCCTTTTACTCGCTGTGTCTTGCCATGCACCTGTCATTTTGGGAGGCAAAGTCCTAATATGGTCCTTTCCAGCAATCTCTAATGCCCTCTGAGTTGCCTGTATGTGGGGACCTGGGCCACTTTGCTGGCTGATTGAAGTGGTTGTGTGAGGGGTAGGGGTGGGTTCCAAACACCAGCCTCAGGTTCTGATCCGGTTTCCATGTGTACCTTCTCTGCCATCATCCATTGTGGGCTAGGGCTCCTGGACCAGAGTCATAGAGCGTATAGTGAAGCTTGTCTTTGATTTAATGAAATGAGGACCCCGTTTTCTGGAAATCCACCCTTCTGTGGACTCTTTGTGCTGGCTGAGAGAAACGCCATTTGTGGCGTTCCTAGAGCCCACGGAGAACAGAAATTTGACTGCTAGACATGAATCCTGCCTCTGGTTGCAAAATGGAATCAGTCTCTATTTGTGATCAGGTGGTTTAGGAAAGGCCTCTCTACGGAGATGAGTTTGAACAGAGATCACATTCAATGGAGGAGCAAGACTTGCAAGATATCTGAAGAATGATCTTGCAAAGGCAAATATAGGCAGAAGAGAAAAGGAAGACTAACATTCAAGTATCCAGTATATCCAGACACTGTGCTCGCTAGGTGCTTCGCCTCACAACTTTGTGGTCAATGTTAAGTCCATTTCATTGAAGAGGAACCTGACTCTAGAGACGTTAAGAAACATGCCTATTATATTGTGTCAACCACTGAATAATCACAGAAGGATAAAATTGGAATTCAAACTTGTTTTCCCAGCACCTCACCTTGTTGCTTTTGTTCTGTTCATAAGAAGTCATTAGAAGGAAGTATGGATATGTGCAAATAGGGATGGGGAATGTGGGTGGAACTGGGCTTTAATGGAGATGTAATTTTTCAAGGCTCTTAGGTAAATGCAGTAGTCATAGTCCAGGCAGGGCTGTGCCTATACACCGCCCTTGACCCTTGAACAACACGGCTTTGAGCTGCGTGTGTTCACTTATACGCAAATTTCTTACAGTATAGTACTGTAAATGTATATGTTCTTATGATTCTCTTAGTAACATTTTCTTTTGTCTAGTTTACTTTGTTGTAAGAATACGTTATATAATATATATACAAAATGTGTTAATTGACTGTTTATGTTATTGGTAAGGCATTCAGTGAACCATAGGCAATTAGTAGTTAAGTTTGGGGGGAGTCAAAAGTCACAGTCGGATTTTTAATCGTCCAAGGAGATTGGCACCCCTAACCCTGCGTTGTTCGAGTCAGCTGTATTTCCAATCTGGAGTCATCATGGTTAGTTTATTTTGTGGGGCCAAGCCCAAGAAGCCTGGTTGTCATCACCAAACTTGTAAGGACATGTGCCACTGTGATCTACACTGGGGACGTGTCTTCACCAGCATGGATGACCTGAGTTCCACATTTAGGGTTTACGGGGACATGGGAAACTGAGCTAGTGACCACTGGGGGAAGAAGGTGTGCTTAGGATCCTGATGGGCTCTAGCAAACCTGGCTCACTATATTATGCCCCCGTAAGTGTGACTCATGTCAGTTCGGAGGCCAACTATCAACTGGACTGTATGCCAGATGCTATAGTCAGTGTTGGAGTTACAAAGATCAGTACACCACAACACCTGCCTGTCAAGACCTTAACCTTCACCCTAAGATGATCTTAATACTTTCACAGCCTTATCCACTGTTGTTGGTCGCGGGAAGGAGGAAGTGGGGGTCAGACATTGACTTGCTCTGACTGCAACAATGAAATTAACCCGACTGTACAGTAATTATTTCAAGATGTACTTTAGGTCTGTTTTGAACTCCTCTCATCAACCCTGCTTTTCCTCCAGAAACTTTAGGGAAATAACTTTTAAGTCTGTCTGGCTGACAACTCTCCATTGATGTTAACTTTCACTGATACTGCTAAAGGATTACAGTTCTCACCGTTAGCTGGTGTCATTTCCTCCCTGTTTGGCAAACACAAGTACACTACCCTTTGTCAAGAGAGTATAGGAAGTATAGATACCAATTAGCCCAAGTAAAAATTCAATGGAATAAAATCAAAGATCTAATTTTATTTTAATTAAGTTGTTAATTATCGTTTTATTAAATGATACATGAATCCAGCAACATCCCATCCAGCAAGTTGAAGGGAGCTTGGAGGAGTTATACAAAATGGAAGTTTTTTATAGGAAGGAGGGTGGGACAAGAAGTTATTAGCAAATGCAGACAGATTGTTTCAGGCCAGGAAACCATCTTTTTGCAGGGGAGAGAGTGGCAGTGTTTTATTATACAGATTACTACCTCACTAGTGCTGATCAGGAAGTTTCAGACTGACTTTTCAGGGATAGGTTGAAACTGTTAAGTCTTGGTTTGCTGGGGTGTGCTTGTGTGTGTGTGTGTGTGTGTGTGTGTGTGTGTGTGTGTGTGTGTCTGCACTTGTGCAAATGATTCCATTTTGGGCTTCTTTTTTAATACTTTGTATCTTCTGACTTATTCACTGACATAGGGATAATTCCCATTTTCTAACAGTCCTTGATGCCTGATATTCATCATAAGCTAATTAAACATAGCTTTAAAAAAGCAATAATATACTTCCATTGTGAAAAGTGTTTAAATACAAATAAATAAGAATAAAATTTCCCTTATTTTAAGTAGTATGGTAATTGTTGTTCACTCAATTCCTTTTTAATCTTTTTATTTGTGCCTGTATCAAATAGCTATTTCTATGTATTACTTATCTTCAAATAGTTTACAAAAGAAGAAAATCCAGATAACAATAAAACTTAAAACAAGGGTAAATGAACAAGTGTGAAATCATGAAGGATTGGGAGCACAGTATTATATCATAAAACCTAGACTAAGAATAGGTACTATCGTTGAACAAAAACTTATCTGCAAGCTTCCTGACAGGCAGGTCAGAAAACAGACAGTAAGTTATAAGTTACACAGGTTTCATAGTCCAACAGCAGGAGGCCAGTTCTAGTTCATCAACATTAAACGTTAGGAAGAATGTCACAGTGATATTTGTGCTATTTATATAAGACATTGCCCAACATAATGAGCTGTAGTTTCATTAATAGATTTTTGGAAAGCGTATTATTATCACGTGAGCATTTATTGTTTCTGGCTTTTTTAAAGGGGTGTTTGTGTTTTATTCTTTTCTGGTCCACTCCACGGTGTTAATATTTTTTTAAAATGCTGTCGGCAGACCTTTAGATCACCAGCCATTGGGTTAAACCTCTCATTTGAAAAGTAGTAGCTTATAGCATATAAAAAGCTCCATGGTTCATCGTCCATTGAGACCAGGGGCTGCCAGTCTCTTTCTCCTCTCCTCGAGGGGGAGGGAGACAAGACTTCCCAGACACAACTTTCTAGGCTTCCATCTGTTGTCATTTCCCTGGAGCCTGAAGGACCTCCATTAGTGTGGCTTGAAGTGTGGTTCTGCTGGTGACAAATTCTCTCAGCTTGTGTGTGTTTTTTAAAAATATTTTAATGTTTATTTATTTTTGAGAGAGAGAGAGAGAGAGAGAGAGAGAGAGAGAGAGAGAGAGAGGAGGGGAGGGGCAGAGAGAGAGGGAGACAGGGAATCTGAAGCAGGATCCAGGCTCCAGGCTCCGAACTGTCAGCACAGAGCCTGATGTGGGGCTCGAACTCAGGAACCGCGAGATCATGACCTGAGACACTCAGGTGCCCCCGCTCAGCTTGTGTTTTTATGGAAAGTCGTCTATTTCACTCTCCTTTCGGAAGAATACTTGCATTGGATACAGAATAATGGGTTGACAGTTTATTCCGTTGAGCACTCCAGGTGTTCTCTGTGGGTCTCCATGGGTCTGCTGAGAAGTCAGCCTTAATCCAGATTTTTATTTTATTCATGTAGAATACCGTTATAATCTGGTAGCTTTTGATATTTAATTTTTATTTTTGGTGTTCAGTGGTTTGACCATGATGTGTGCAGGTGTAATTTTATTTGTATTTTTCT